TAGAGCTGGGCAAATCTGAGCCTGGATCTAATAACACTTACTGTGCATGCTACCATATTTTCTTCAGACTCCTGGATTCAAAAATGGCTCTAAGACCAGTTCTCCCCCACGCCGGGGGCGGACCCGGCCGGGCCGCCAATCACCGCGCCCGCCGCCGCGGCCCGGGCCCGCCGGAGCCCCGGCCCCACCGCCAAGGGGGGCGGGGGGCTCGGATTTAAAGACACACTCACCCAAGCCTGGGCGCGCGCTCGGCATGCCAGAGCCGCCCATCTACCGGGGCTGGAAACCGCTGTGCCCGACTTCCCGGCCTGCTTCCTCCCTCCGCTGGAGGAGACTGCCTGGGAAGTCAGTTCCTCTTCCTTCGTCCTGAGCTCGGCTGGTTCTGGAAGATACCCAATCCCCACATCCAGCCTCAAAAATGTAAACGCTTGTGGGCGCCACACCCCCATCCCGGACTCCAGCTGCCGGGAGATGGCGGACCCGGCTTCCCTCGACCCCCGCTGTCTGGTTTTTAAAGCCAGGCTGAGCCTCAGAGGGAACGAGCTTCTGGACTTTGGAACTAGTCTCGCTGGGTAGTGCAACCTGAGCTAGAGATTGACATCTCTGGGTTCGACTCACTCCAGGTGTTCAAGGACGAGCCCCTCAAGAGTAGACAGTCAGATCAACTGTGGGCTTCTAAGCCCCGGACTTCCAGGGGAACGAGCCCAGAGGCTGAAAGGGATCGACAGGGCAGGAACGCAAAGAGAAAGGGACCCAGGCCCCGCTGCAAGCAGTGATGTGTCCCATGAAGCCTTTCAGCCTAACAGAGCCATTCTGGCTCGCACTGGGCTTCGGCCCACCCCCATGACACCTCTGCTGAGACCAGCCCTGGGCTCACGCACCCCCGCTGGCACCCACGTTGGCACTCACTGCTGCTTCCTCTCCGGGAGACCTGCTTTGTTGTTTGTTGAGTCACTTCCGCCCTCTCTCCACTCCACGCTGGGGAAATCCTTCTTCCTCGCCTGTCACTACCTGTCTAACCCCAAAATCAGAGCTAGTAGGGGAGTCCGACCTGCTGGGGAACCTATGAGCCCAGAATGAGGGCTTAAAAGTCAGGCCAGGGAATATCTAGCCCAATAGGGAAAGGCGCTCACAGCCCCAAGACCAACTAAAGAGAAGAAAGAGGACTCACCTGGCTGATTATTCTGTCTCTGTGTGTGCGTGCTGGGGCTTGAACTCAGGGCACTGCCCCTTAGCTTTTTTTGCTCAAGGCTGTAGTTCTACCACTTAAGCCACACCTCCACTTCTGGCTTTTTGATGGCTAGTTGTAGATAAAAGTCTTACAGACCTTCCTGCCTAGGCTAGCTTTGAACCTCGATCCTCAGTAGCTAGGATTACAGGTGACTCAGTACTTGGCTTATTATCCTATTTTACTGCATTAGGGAAACCCCAGCCCAGGGACCACTTGACGTCTCAGGCTTCCTCATGCCCCACCCACCATATATAAGGGGAGGAGCAAAGCCCAGGAGGGGCCTAAAGAAGCAGGTGAACCTTGGGCCCAGCAGAGCTCACCTCAAAGGGGCTGACAGTTCCTGGCTGTGTGCTGTAGTGGGGACAGGGTAAAATAAGCTGATCTTCAAGTTCTTCATGGGTAAGTGGGCCCATACTCCCTGGGTGAGGTGTTTGAGGAGCCGATGAACTGGGGCCCTGATGCCTGTGTATTAGTGTGATATGTTGTAGTGCTCCAACCTTGGACATCATTCTCCTCCATCCTCCTCTTGCCCTGCTCCATGTCCCACCTCACTGGGCTCCCCAACTGATGCACTTGCCATTCTTTTTTTTTTTTTTGTCGGTCATGGGGCTTGAACTCTGGGCCTGGGCGCTGTCCCTCAGCTCTTCAGCTCAAGGCAAGCGCTCTACCACTTGAGCTACAGCTC